CCTCCCCGCCCGCACCGTCTCCCGCTGTCGGCCCACGAGCCCTTCTCCCCTCCGAGCTCTGCCCGCGCCAGCCCACCGCCCCACCCTCTCGCTCCCGCTCCCGCTCCGCGCTCCGCCCGGGCCACCCTGCCCCGGGGGTTTGCGGGCCTGGGAGGGCCCAGGCGGTTCGGTGGTGAGGGGCCAGGGCGGAGCGGCGGGGACACCCGCCCTGTTCTTTCCTGGGATTGCGGGGATATCCTGCGCCAGGCCTGAGCGTCCTGCAAGTAATTGGTTCTTAGCGTTTTATTCCGAGAAGCGGAATATTCAAGTGTCCGGCCCTGTTGGAGGCCCTGGGAGCAGTCTCAGCTCCCTGCCGGGGTGGAAGGGACACTCCCGTGGGTGCAGAATTTAAGGAAGCCATTGATCTAAGTGATCAAGAAAAATACTATTCTGGGGGTTGGGAGAGTGGAGGGGGAGAGATTAACCAAAGTGCGTAACCCAAGGTCACAGGCAATGGTGTGGGGCGGGGTGGAATGGGTCAATGGGGAGAAAAAGTGACATCTGTAATATTTTGAATAAAAATAAAAATTAAACATTTATTTAAAATATGTTTATATATATTTTAAAAATACTATTCTAATTCAGTATTTTTTAAAATCCTCATCAGAGTATGTTTTTATTGCTTTTTCAGAAAGGTAAGGGGAAGGGGGGAGAGAGGAAGAGAAAGGGAGAAAAACATCCATTGGTTGCTTCTCACACAGCCCTGACAGGCAACCTTTTGGTGTATGGGAAGTTGCCCCAAACCAACTGAGTCTCCCTGCCAGGGTACTAATGCAATATTTTAAAAATTCAAAATTAATGCCCAAAAGTTCATGATGAACAAAACATCAAACATGGAAATAGGACAGGATTCCCCCCTGCCCTCAGACTCAGACGAGTCTGCCATGAAGAATGCTACCAAAGCCCCCATTCACTGTCATCTTAGACAAGTAAGAATTTACAGTCAAACCTCGGTTCTCAAATGTCTCCCATCTCAAATAATTTGGTTCTCCACCAAGTTATTCATGGAAAAATGTCTGTTGTCAAAACTTCACTTCTCCACCCAAAACCCTTTTGTGCTTATACCTGTATGGTCAGTCATGTGTCTCTCAGGCAACAAAGGAGAGAATGCATGAGTATGAGTCAGCTTACCACTAAACCTTGCGTTAACATCTCAGGAAATTGTGCTGTGCATATTTCTATGTGTTGTTTTTTTTTTGCTTCTGTTGCTGCTCATTGTTATTAAATATGTACTGTAAGTCACCATGGGTCCTAAGAAAGTGATAGCAGCAAAGTGTAAAGGGCAGTTGTGAGAACGATAGAGTTTAAAAAAGAAATAATTGCAAAATATGATGGAGGTGTTTGCGTGTCTGGCATGGCGATATCGATGATTAGCACAATTTTAAACATTAACAGTGCTGACACTCTAAGGGTGTGAAAGTGCTCAAGAAACCATGATCACAGGCAACTGAAGAGGTAGGAAAATTGATTTGGATAAAGGAAAAGCAGTTAGCCAGTAATAGCATTTCTGAGCAGTGATATGTGGAAAAGCAAAGATGCTGCATGCTGACTTTCTGAGACACTCCTGGAAGGGGTGCTGAAAGTTACTTTAAGCCTAGCAGGGGGTGGTTCGATAAATTTAAGAAAAGGGGAGGCATTCATAATGTAGTGAGGCATGGGGAGGCTGCCAGTTCCAACAAAGTAGCTGCTGATAATTTTGTCACAGTTGTTCAATATATAGAGGCCCAACCTTCTTAGGACCCATAGCAACTTACTGTACATATTTAATAAGCAGCAGGATTTGTTCCCCAACAAGTGTTCAGTTGTGATGAGATAGGCATCTTCTGGGAGAAAACGCCAAAGAGGACCTACATCACACAGGGGAAGCCATTGCAAGGACACAAGCCAGTGAAGGACGGGCTGGCGTCACTGCTGTGTGGAATGCGAGTGGAGCCTTAAATTACAGCCTTTACTCACCTACCATTCTGAAAACCCACGCATTTTCAAGAAATACACTACAATCAAAAACAAGTTGAATGTGATGTGCAGGGCTAAAAGCAAAGCTCGGGTAACAAGGCAATTTTTTATTGATTGGATCCATGAAGTGTTTGACCCAAGTATGAAGAAATACCTCTGGGGAAAACAATTGCCACTCAGGGCATTTCTTGTAGTGGACAAGGCTCGTCCCCACCCTCCAGGTTTGGAGGCTGAGCTGGTGGAGGAGTACAGCTTCATCACTGTGAGGTTCTTGCCACATAACACAAATCCTCTTATCCAGCCCAATGGACCAGCAGGTCATTGCTAACTTTAAGATACTAAACAAAGGCACTGTTTCAGAGGTGTTTCTTTGTTGTTGTTTTTATTCTCACTCAAGGATATGTTTATGAGTTTTAGAGAGGGGGGAGAGAATCATCAATGTGGGAGAGAAACATACCCACAACCTGGGTATGCTCCCTGACTGGGAATCGAACCTGAAACCTTTTGGTATACAGGACGACACTCCAACCAACTGAGCCACCCAGCCAGGACAGAGGTGTTTTGAGGTGACTTTTGAAACTAATTTAACCCTCAGGGGGTCATTTCTTGGAAGGACCATTAAAATATCCTCACTTGCCTGAGGCTCATAGAGCATGGGGGGAAGTGTCTTCCAGGACCATGCAAGCAGCCTGGAAGAAATGGTGGCCTGAGCCTGTTGCTGAAAGAGACTCTGAGGGCTTTGGGATGAGCCTGTGTCTACTGTGGAGGATACTGGGTCCCAGGGCAAGTCCCTGGGCTTGGAGGCAGATGATGATGGTGTGGAGGAGTTGGTGGAGGACCCCTGCACTAAGCTGACCACGGAGGAACTCCAAGACCTTCAGGGGGAGCAGAAATAAATGGCAGCAGAGGAGCTCTCTTCGGAGGAGGAGGGCAGGGAAGGTACTGCTTCACTCATCAAGGGAATGCTTGGGAACTGGTGAGGAACCCAAAGTTTTACTGAGAAACATCACCCTGACAAAGCAGCAAACCCTGCGATAAACTTGATCAATGACAATGCAGTGTTTCACTTCAGTCAAGTGTTAAAACGAACGTCACTGAATAAGCTTTTAGTGAGATGGGTGCAGTCAGCCTGAAGCAAGTTCTAGTGGAGCCAAGAGGAGACAGAAAAAACAGAGAACAGCTACATAGTGTTTTATGGAAGGAACTCCCCTTACAAACAATGATATTCCTCGATCCCTCCATTCTCCATCTTTAATCCTCCATCCCTCAATCCTCCATCCTCCATCCCTTCATCCTCCATCCCCATCCTCCTCCCTCCATTCTCCATCCTCATCCCTCCAACCTCCATCCCTATCCCTTCATCTCTACATCCTCCATCTCTACATCCTCCGTCCCTCCATCCTCGTCCCACCATACTCGTCCTTCCATTCTCCATCCCTCCATCCCCATCCTTCCATCCTCCGTCTATCCATCCTCGTCCCTCCATCCTCATCCATCCATCCTCCATCCTTGTCCCTTCATCCTCCATCCCTAGAACCTCCATCCCTCCATCCTCATCCCTCAATCCTCCATCCCTGCATCCGCCATCCCTTCATCCTCCATCCCTCCATCATCCATTCCTCCATCCTCGATCCTCCAACCTCCATCCTCCGTCTCTCCATCCTCCGTCTCTCCATCCTCCAGCACTCCATCCTCCTCCCTCCATCCTCATCCTTCTCATCCACATCCCTCCATCCTCCATCTCTCCATCCTCCGTCTCTCCATACTCTGTCACTCCATCCTCATCCCTCCATCCCACTATCCTCATCCCTCCATGCTCATCCCATCCTCCATCCTCATCCCTCCGTCCTCCATCCTCTACATATTGTCACCAACAGCTCTCAGCATGAAAGGTGAGGTGTAGTGTGCATATACATTTTCATCATTTACTGTACCTCCACTTCATTTTTGTTAAACTTTCAT